GCACTATTACTACTGCCACTACCACTACTGCTGCTCCTGCTACCATTGCTACTACTACGACGACGACGACGACTGCGACGACGACTACGACTACGACGACGACTACGACTACGACGACTACGACTACGACGACTACGACTACTACGGCTACTACGACTACTACGACTACTACGACGACGACGACGACTACTACTACTACTGCTGCTGCTGCTGCTGCTCCTGCTGCTACTGCTGCAGCAGCAGTAAGGTTAACAATGCGCAACAACAATACCAATGCTAAGCTTGCCAACAAGGAGAGTAGTGATGGTTGAAAGTGCAAAACGAACATAATGACGGCATCGGAAATGATGAGACTAAATGAGTAATGACGATGACGATAGTTCTACTGGTGAAGATAATCAGCGGACCTGTGCTTTGGACCTGGGCTGTTAAAGGATCATGCGGCATGCGACTTAGATTCTAGGTTACAAGTAAGATAGCCCTTTCTAGAACCTAAAACTGCACCTCTAACCTACCCTAAAGGTCCATGTACCCAAATAGAACATGCTTCGGCCCTAAAGTACCTGAATGGGGCTTATGAGGCCAAAGCATATAATCACTTTTTGGACCCATGGACCCTCAGGGCTACTTGCGCTCCCCTGATGCATCAAGTGGGGTCGGGATCCCTCGGATAAGAGGGATCCGGAGCTTGGGAATCCAAAAACCTACTGCTTCAGGGGCTCCACCCTCTAATTAAGAGGCCATACCCTGCTATGTTGTAGGGTACGGTTTCGGTCTTGGGATCCCCCACACCAGGTGTCCGGGTGTTTCGAGGGTGCAATCCAAGCCTGGAGCCGAAGGGCCACAACATGCCAAACACACCATCTCCCCTCAAAAATGAGGATTCCGATCATGTATACACACACACATACATATAGATATTGACAAAGATATAGATATAGATGTAGATGTAGATATAGATATAGAGGGAATCCCAATATCTCCCCCCAGCATGAAGGGAATCCGGGATGCGCCCTTCTGCAGGAAGTAGATCAGGCATCCATTCAGCTCCGGATCGTAGCAAATCTGGGTTGCGCATCTCTGGGTTGTTTCTTACAATAAAGGCCCTGAGTCAGGGATCCTGTTGATCAGGAACCTTCTATTTCGGTTCTTTCTTCATCTTTCGAACATAGAGTAGGACGCAGAGTGCCCAGGTTCACCGATATGCAGCCATTACTGAGGGTGGTGCCTTCTGAAGCCGAAACCCTGTTTGAACCAGCAAGTTCGAACTCATGCTTGCAGATCATGCAAATGCTGTTGCTAGGTCATGGCATGTTACCGTGAGCTCTTAACCCTGAGAGCAAAGACTCAGAGGCACACGATTCCTAACTTGCTGCGATTTGTCTGACACCTCTCAACTCGATTATATTGTAAACGGGCACTCTGCCTCGGTTTACACTCAATGCAAACACAAAAGCTTAACCGAACTTCGCAAATTCTCCGGATGTGAAACGCCATGTTCGCTATAGCTGTCCTACACATACACATCCGCGTCTAAACTGTGGGAAGATGCTAACTACTACTGAGCGGTCAGACTCCAGATAGGACTGCAGACCTGCATAATCACGGAATCTGCTCATGGGGTCGCACATGAACTCCGACCCAACAACACACATAACGCTGTGTCTCTCAAGTGCTGGCAGGATTCGTTGAGGAGATGTGGGGTTCGATCATCCAGCCCGACGCTGGTCGTCAGCTCCTGTGGCGAAGCTTTGAGATGCAAACGCAAAACCAAAAACAGCCCACGCGCACGCAAGCACACACAAACAAAAACAACTCAGAGCCTTGCTCAGTCCACAACTCCGAGCCCCGCAACTTCATACGCGTGTTGACAACAGCATGTGCTTATTGGCTTTCTTTCGAGCGTCATTCTTCTTAGTGAGTCTGCTGTCCTGCTATGACCACCGATGTTGTCAGAGTTCGGCTACCATCCTGCTTTCCGCTCCTGCTATATTTTCAATTGTTCTGACTATGTTTCTGCTTGCCCTGTTGGGACCCACCCAAGTCGCCCGGCACAACGCCCGTTGTCCTTGGCAGTCAGGCCAGCATCCGCCAAGAGGGTCTCCCTCTGCTTCTGCAGGTCTTCGGCCAACTTCCTTCCGGGGGTACCAAGACCCAGCTATGGCTCTGACCTCTGCACAGACTTGTCATGTGACCAACGTGCAACATGTCGCAGGGTTCAAAACTTATGGCCCCTCTGGCAGAAGCGTGGCCAACAAAGCCAAAGGGCAACTGCTCTTCGAAGTCTCGCCCATACTTCCTCGGGGCTGGGTATCGACGAAGCTTTCAACTCAGGGCCGAAACGGTGCAACTCCCTCCACCCGGGAAATACGATTAAATCAAAGACTGTATGTTTACGGTAAACACTATGTCAACATTACGATGTGTGCCACTGCCTGGGTGTGCTAGTTGTGGCTCTACACATGACCAATTGAGAGAAGAGAGAGGCAGAGTGAGTGAGATAGACAAAGAGAGTCTAAGTATAATAGCGGCCTTAGGGCTTGACCGATCTACCGTTACGAATTAAGGTATGTATCAAGTGTCAGTTCTAGCATGGTGCCGCAGCACTGCAACTGCACGCGTGGATAGCAAGTAAACAGAAACCTATGAATGCGTTCGCCGCTATGCATGCACACCTGGCATCAAAAAAGCATACACATGGCATACACACTACTACATAGGTGACTTTGCCGACAGACATAGATACATACATACATACGTACGTACACACACACACTCACATGGCATGGGTATGTCTTTGCACGAGCGCACTAAGACCAACGTGAAGAATCAACATTTGCGGTCCCGCTGCCTCTGCATTTCCTCCAGGGCAGCAAGCTCTTGCAGTTGGCTGTTTCCTGATCTGGGCGGCTCGAAAGCCAGCATACCAAAGCAATGAGGGGCTTTTTGGACACCTGAGTTTCGTGATCCTCAACGCCCCGAACGTCATCTTTAAAGACTTTAATATAAAGATCCCGGTATCCTTTTGATTCCGGCTTTTTTCCTTCCCACTTAGCAAGGACGAGCCCGCATTGCAGGGTTAGTGTGCCGTACAGTCTGTAGACATGCAAGGATTCTCAGGCACCCACAATGGTCCACTAGCTGATTTCACTGGCAGACCAAGGGGGAACCGAATTAAGGATCAGTACCCTGGGCCAAAATGGCGCATGAAGTTGCTGATTCCGGCTTAGGGTTTAAGGTTTCGACTCACACACTCGCACCAGGCTGGCATTGCATACAGGGTCTGAGCTGATGGTTTAGGTTTTGGGCAACAGTGGAATCTCTAATCCCCGAACGGTGTCCTGCATCCATGTTCACCAACTGGCGCAGCCGCTCGCACTCCGCCTCGAGATCCTGGATCAGATTGTCCTGAAGACGGGACCGTATAGCGGGGGTAGCGGTATGCTAGCTGGAAGCCCCGCAAGGGCCTCTGCTCTAGATGCATCCACGAGGACATTTAGACTCTTTAGACACGTGCTGTGTGGATGATCCTGTAGCAACAATTAGTTGGCATCTGTGACCCGGCCGTCAGTCAGAAGGAGTTCTAACATGCTCTCACTCCCGGATGCTACTCTCACAGCTCAGCAACAAGTTCAGCTAGTACCGGGGACGTTTGTGTCTGGAACTGGTCGTGTATGTGCTTGTCCAAAGCGCCACCCGTGGGTGCGAAAGCCAACATTGTTTTGTCGGGAATGCAACCTATAGCAATATATGCTTCAGTTGGATAAACTTGAAGTCATAGCTGCGATCTACGCGGCATCTATTGTTGCGCGGCCTGTCGACGCTTCCGTGGGAAGTGTTGAAGCTTGCGCTCTGTCTTGTCCCTTGTCCAACATGGTCCCAAGGCACAAAGCGGTGCTTGCAAATTCGTAGATCTGTTTGGGACAGAAGTCCCTAACTTCGTCCCGAATGGTCTCTGCTCTCGTTCTTGATGCATCCGTTTCCATGCCTCCAAATTCTCGTTCTTCTTCGCGTTGGTCTTCACAGCCTGCCATGAGTGCAAATAGCAATTGGGGCACAAACCACTCGATCTGCGCATCCGGCCTTCACACTTTGCGCGAACCTCAGCATCGAATGTTCACTCACAAGCCAGTCGGTCATCAGAAGCCTCAAGGAAAAAAGAGCTAAAGCTCTCTTGGGCCCGAGGGGCAGCAGGGTGCTCAAGGTTTCTTCATAGTTGAACTCGGCGGGAGAAAGCGCTGCAATCATCACCTCGGTGCTGACCATGGGATTCAATTCCGAATGTCCCGGGCCCACTGCTGACACCGTAGGCACTCATCCCGACCCACCACTTAGGCATGCTTCACGTGCGAGGATCAACGAAAGGCTTGATGTTAGCTACATCCGCCAACCCCCCCCCCCCCCCCCCNNAAACCCTAAACCCTAAACACCAAAAGAAAAAAAGAAAACGAAATCTCGACCGTGGCTAAGGTCTTTAAAACCAAAGGTAAAGCCCAAAACCCCCGCAAGCCCCTCCCTCTGTGAGCCGGACAGTCTTGGAGTTGCCCCGCAATGAATCCTCCAGCCTTGTCTCTTGAGGTGCCAGGGAGGGCTCTTTCTTTAAGGTTTACAGGGAAACCTTATAACTTATATACCCGACACCTGAAGGTGCGAGGTTTCAGGTTTACAGAGTAGGGATTCCGGCTCAGAGCTCTCGGATTTGGGGGGTACTCCTGCGGCTGAGGTTTGGGGTCTTCATGCAAAGCCTGGAATTCAGGCTTAGGATTCAAGGTACGATGGCACAGAGATCCGTGTAAAATTGCCGTAGTGCCCAATTCAATTTTCGTCAGTATGCCAATACGCAAGTCACTTCCCCGTCCAAGTCTTTCCCCGGAGCTCTCGGAGCCGGGAGCAAAGCTAGAACTATCCTCTGAGAGAGACACCCTCCCAAGTCAGGGACTGCAAGAGACCCCGAAGTCGATTGCTTGTGCTGTCGGTTGTGAGTTTCGTGCTAGGATGACACTCAGGCATAGTAGGAGCAAAAGGAGCAGTTCCGATGCTAGCAGAGGACAGATCGCATGAATTGAGATTCATGATAGCCCAGGGAGTGGAACGAGCATCTTATTTCAAACGAGGCGCAGAAAGGTCAGCTTCGAGCTCCTTGAAACAGCTTCGATGAAATCCAAACGTGACGTGAGTAGCACTATTGATGAAGAGTCGGCTCCTGAAAGGAGCGTACTCCATGGCTTTCTTTTCCTGCCGGAGTGCAACTGTGCGGACAAGATCGCTTGCATATGGAAAAGTCGACCTATTCAGCCCGAGGCCTGATGTCGCATGATAGGGCACGAATACATTCGCAGCATACTGCTCTTTTGCACTGGTGCAGCGCCGGACGGAGTAGGGCTGCTTCATGTAGCTCTTACTGATGATATCGCAAGGCCCGGAAGCTCCGCCATGCCTTGTTCTTCTCGGATAAGTTTGCGAACTCCGCAAGTCTGCCTGCTCAGAGTTCCTTCTTTCTGTTGCTTTGGCTTCAAACACTAGGCTCCAGAGTGAGACACGGCCCTCTAGTCTTCACTGAAGCTGGAACGCTAAGACTTTGATTTGGGTCTCGCTCTTGAAGTCCTACGCCAGGCCAGCTGTGGCTCAATACTCAAGGCAGCCGAAGCACTAATGACGAGTGCGAGGTTGGACAAGCTCTGATTGATCATGGCCTCGGAGGGAGTACCGACTAGCTTGCATTTCTGGCCCGCCATACTGATCTTAATCTCAATCCCTGGTTGAAACGATACATGCAGGTACTAAAACTTGAAGAAAGCTGAAGAAAGCTGGGACCCACACTCCTTCTTTCAATCTGGTACCGGTAGCTTGGGTCTTCTTCTGCCGCTCGGACCCGGCAAGATCCACCAAGTTCAACTGCCGTGCAGGTTCAAGCGCATCTTCTGCTCTGCCGACGAAGATCATAGCTGTCTTAACAGTAGCGACCAGAACAATGACGACAAGAATAACACAAGAAGAAGATAAATAAGAAACATACAAATGGCAACGGACACTCAACCTAAGCAGCAGTCGCAAGCACCGGCGGAAGTGGTAGCAGCAGTGGCCGTAGCAGTGGTAGTAGTGGTGGTGGTGGTGGTTGTGGTGGTGGTGGCGGTGGTGGTGGTGGTGTCGTAGTGGAAGTCCTAGTCACGGACGTAGTCGTCGTCGTACGTAGCAGTAGTAGGGTCCATCACTTTCATCGTTGGCCACACTTCGGGGTGGGGGGGTGGCGAAGGGGGGGGGGAGATACCGTCATGATCAAACGTATATCTTGCACGCTTAGACTCTTGACTTCCTGAAATCCACTGGTGCCGCCACTCTTTCTGCCGCTACTACAACTTTTGTCACACTACGGGACTACTACTACCGCTGCTCCTTCAGCTGCTACTCTAGGCCCACTTCTGCCGCTCCTCCTGCCACTACTCCACCACTACAAGTCTTTGCCTCTATGGCTGTGGGACTACTACTGATGCTGCAGCTGCTGCCGTAGCAGACAGCATTGCCTAGCAAACTGAATCGAAAATACGAGGTTGTTACAGATTTCAGCCTTACAAATATCAGACAAAAAATCAAATCAACGGTGCCAAAAAAAAGGGCCTTTACAACTGCTGCTAAGAGTCGACAGCATTCGACAAATCACCAGAATGTGCTTAAATCCCGAGCGACAACGTAACTTTCAACATGGTCATGCTTTGCATGTCCAAGTAAACCACTTCGATTCTGACATGTTACGCCGCGTCCTGCGCCGCAAACGAAGTAGATGGTATAGTTGTAGTCAGTAGAAGCCGTCGTGGTAGTATTAGTAGAGGCGCAGCAGCAGCAGCAGCAGCAGCAGCAATCTCGCACCTTGGACCGGAGTTGCGTACGGGCTCCACCTGATCGCATCTTGTGCACGACCTGGCAGCCAATTGATGCGGTCGAGAGCTGCACTGGACACATTGGACCTCAGGACCACCCGTCACAAGGAGAGACCGAACAAAATATTCCAGGCAACAATCAGGCAAAAACAGAAAATGTCCTTGGCCTCCATGCTGAAGATGCAGTGAGACCGGCTTGAGGTAGCCTGGGATCACGAACTTGTAATAGCTGGGCATGTTTAGCTCTCCAGAGAAGCCGCCAACATGCAAAGAACCGTCAGGATATGCATGCGTCCAAAGTTTAACGCAACAGCTTGTCGAGCTTCTGTTGTCAAGCTGGACTTGTCCGCACAAACGCCGTAGGGACCAGCAAACTACCTAAACAAAAACCATACGGTTGGGACATCTGATACTTCCTAAAACCTATAAACCCTAAACTCTCAACTCGAAGCCAAGCAAGGGGCGTTCATGGAAGTGTTGGCCACGGCCCGGGCTTTCACGCCAAAGTCAAGCCACTGCTTCAGGTTCTGCCAGTCCTGAGCTCGGCCGTCAGAGGCTTTAAAGCCCGCTTTCTAGGGGGGGGGGGGGTTAAGGTTACATATGGAGTTTAAGGTTATAGTAATTTAATTAATAGGGTTTAAGGCTACATATGTAGGGTTTAGGGTTGCATATGATATATTTGGCGTGGGGTTTAGGATGTTGTAGGGTTATGGGGTAGGCTGCCATCCACAAATGACACTCCAAGGAAGTGAGCCGAAGTTGTTTGAACATAGTAAGAAAACCATTCCCAGATTCTCTGCAGTCTCGTGATATGGTTAAGCTTCGCAGCAAGGCTACAGTACAGGAAAGCACAGCAGCGCACATGAAGCACATCATCTCAATACCACAAACACTCCAAGTTGCCATGACGGGAACTTCCTTCAGACCATACCTGAAACAGCAGCGATTTCAAATCTGCTTCGCCCGTAAATCGAGAAGCGCGTTTGCTTCGGGGACAGCATTAGCAAACCCGTCTCTTAAGGTTGACTCCTCCTGCTCTCGGGTCATGTGTGTCAGCAGTATTCTGCTTGCTGGCATGGCAAACAATGCATACTATAGAGGTCGGAGCAATTTCTAAGTTCATTCCCTTGCCGTTCAGAAGAAACCCCACCCCGTTCTAGCAAAAGAAGGCACTCGTGTTCACCGCCCTGCTCACAGCCGAGCTGCACAAAGTTTCCGTACTTCGGGTTGGCTCGGACCTGCAAAGGCAGACGCAAGCACCGATCTAGGGGTGTCGCTTTAGGATTTCGGTTTTAGAGTGTTTAAAAGGTTAGGAAACCAGAGCGTCGACACGTTGCTGATGGCGCTCAGCACAGAGGAATAGGCCACTTCATAATGCGCTGTAGCTCGTTGCTCATCAGAATAAGTACTTTGTATATATATATATAAGTGCATTGTGTATATATATATATGAACATATATATATGATGATGATGATGATGATGATGAAACAATGAACAAACACATAAGTAACCACATAAATAGATAAATACATGGTAAGCAAACAAATACGCTTATCTGTCTATCTATCTACCTACCTATCTACCTATATGTGTATGTGTCTATCTATCTATCTAACTATCTATTTATCTATCTACCTATCTATCTATCTATCGATCTATCTATCCGTCTTTCTACAGATACAAATATAAACAAACAAGTAAGTTAATATATATATATATATAGTGTGTATATATATATATGTTCATATACATACATACATATGTATATACGTGTGTGTGTGCATCCTGTTATGGTTCTGGACAGCATCACCCTTGAGCTCCTGTCAAAATCGGACTCAGCTGCAACCATCTGCAACCCATCACGACCTGCTACCAGTACTCTCGGTGTCCCAGAAGCCTGGCACCTTCGATTTTCGACTTCGCCACGACAAGAATAGGAGGTTGAGGGTTGAGGGTGTTGTGAGTGAACCCGGTGCGCCGAGCAAAAGAGAACAAGAACAAAGCTGACGACCTAAGCCCTGCAGGCTTTGGAGCCTCACACCTCCACCCGTAAATACAACCTATGGACGTACATCCTAGACACCGACCCCGACGAAAAAGCAAATGTAGGCCGTCAACTAGACTCAGAAGCGCTTTGCACCCCGGACGGGTTTGCACCTCGAGTCGCAGCTGCTGCTCTTGACCCGATCGAAGAAGGTCGCGGATCTTCTCGTTGTAGATCCTGGGTTTGGGGCTGACGGATTTATACAGTTGAGAGTTTACGCTCTCACTACTCAAACAAGCCAGGCGGGGTTCCATAGTCGCAGGTCGGCGTGATACAGTGATAGGTGGTCGTCGTTATACCTATTACTTCTCTACTCCATGTTTTGGCTTCTTTTGGATAGTGCTGCGCAAGTTGGGCTTTCGGACATTCCTTCGGCGCACCCAGGATTTCTGGCTTAGGCATTGGGCTGCAACGTTCACACCCTTGGCATTCCGGATCAATGCTTCACCTCTCGGACAGCGCCCGGCGAGGTTTCAATCCCAAACAAGCAAATGCCAATGAACATGATGCAAATAAAAATAATAGCAAGAATAAAACCACAGAACGTAGCACATTACGGGCCCCATGTTTGCAGCATGCTTGTTTTCGCTTTTCTTATAGATTTTGACTAACATCAGACGTGAACCGTAATGTCCTTACCTGGAGGTGTCTTATATATATATAGATAGATAGATAGATAGATAGATAGATAGATAGATAGATAGATAGATAGATAGATATATAGATAGATAGATGGATAGATAGATAGGCATATATATATATATGTGTGTGTGTGTGTAGAATCTACGTACATACCGTTATACATACACATGTGCAATGATGCGTCTCAAGGATAAAGAGTTCCAGCTTAAGTATCGGATATTGCTTTTTAGACAGGAGGCTTCAATCGCTTGGCAGATCTAGGTTTTGACTGGAAAATATGGGGCCCGTAATGTGTTACACTGTCCAGAAAATAATTACATCGTGAGCCCGCTAGGCCTGTGGACGGCTCAAGTTATTCGACTCCGGATAAAATATGATGATTTGGGTTTGTGAAGTTAAAAACATCGAACTCCTAGACCCTAAACCCTAAACGTCCTTGACCCTTTTGCACAGACTTGTACATGCCCGCACGGTTCTCAGAGCTGCTGGACTCGTGGCAGAAACCCTAAGCATAACTCCTAAAACCCCTCTCTCTAAATCTCAAACCCCCAAACCCCAAAGGCGAAGCCCTAACGATAGAGTTTTTTTCAATAGCATTCATAATCGGAATGCAAGTAGTCACAATAAGAGTAATAATGGTAGTGATACATTTCGAGCCACAATCACTGTCTGAACCTCCGGATTTCTCCTCGTTTCGACATCATAGGGCCCTCCAGTCGACTGAGCCCCGGTCTCCAGATAGGAGATCGTTGTGGCAAACTCATTCGGAGCTTTTTCAATGATCTTGAAGATGTCCTCCACGGCTTCAGGGAGTGGAACGGCGATTTTGCTACGATGAAAAGCTAAACTGACGACCGATTCGACCTGCAAAGAGGAGCCTCAAGCCCCACCGGAAGCTACCTTTCTGAGAGCAAAGCGTCCGATAACATCACCACAAGTAACAGAGAAAATCTCACAGGACACACATCCCTAAACTCTAATCCTAAACCCCATACCCCTGAACCTAAGTACCAAACCCCTAAACCCTAAAGGCCCAAAGCCGAAATGTGTGGCCTCCACGATCCGCGGCAACAGGCCCCGACACTCTGGGGGGCTTTCGCTTCCCAAAACGCTGTAGGTCTTTCCGCTGCCTCACGAAAGGGCCCCAGGCTCCCTGATGGTTTGGGGTATTTTTCCCGGTTTAGGGTCTAAGCATTTAGGGTTTAGGGTTTTGAGGATTTAGGGTTTAGGGTTTCAGCACTCACACTCGGACTTGCCTAGGCGAGGATCCGGTTTAAGGGTTTAGGGTTTAGGGCTTATGCTAGGCGATCGGTTCTTGTTGTGTGAGTGTTCGGTCGGTGGTGAAACCTTCGTGTGGAGACGCAGTGGCTTCGTTCTTTAACCCGAAGCTAAGGCTCATTCAACTTATGAGGAGGATCGACAACAAATAAATGCATTGCTCAAGTCTCACCCCTTAATGGTTTAAGATTTTAGGGTGTCGCGTGTAGAAAATCATGCAACAGAGGCCTGGAGAATTGCAAGTTCGAAGAGACACATACCCTGTCTACCTATGCAAGAAAAGACTTTCGCATAGAAGAGAAGAGGCTGGCATAGAAGGAACCCTATGCTCCTCTACCCTAGGCCTTCACACCCGAAGTCACAAGTCCAAGATTGCTCCAAGCACCACCGCAAGCGGCTGCATAAGCAGAATACAAGCATCCCCTACAAGTCACATGAAACCTCTGAGCCGCAAGCACAAATGATCGAGTTCAGTTTGCTTTCAGGGCCCCTTTTCCTCCTGCTTGGTGGTCAGAAAGATCAGTAACGATCGGGCCGGGGCTAAGCCCCTGTCTACCTGCGGAAGCATTTTTCACAACTCAGACGTAGCTATGACTACAACACTGATTGCTCCCACAGCAGTTCCACAGCATATGCCGAGAGGGACTTCCAAACAATCCAACCCACTTCAAACCTCCGAGGAAACTACGCATGTCCCTCTCATCCATACCGTGCTGGCAAGTGACAGCATGCCACGTCTCGTCATATCTCTGATGAGACATGACGCGTGCACAAAATCAGGTGATGAGCCTAGCACACGGAACACAAAGGTTGGCTGGCAGGTCGTCAGGCGGCTGCTCTGCAGCGAACCAACGAACTAATTCAATTCAAAAAGGCTTCTTCCTGGCCCCTGACGAAAGCATGTTCTACTGGCAGAAGCCGACTTCCAGGACAAGACTGCAAAGACCGAGAGTAGCGCTTGGATTTCTGTCCGGGGCACCTTTATACTCTGATTGTGACGACACGTTGTCCACTCCTCGGCGCGCATGCAGTACGTAATCGTTGGGGTCCAGTCTGACACTGCTTCATGTGCATCGGTCGCTGTGCTTCTTAGTTGTCTGGGCCGCCTCCCTTGACATCCCCGGGAGGGTCCGGGCCTGAGCACGCCGTGCCTTTGTCCGCCGTCATAGGACGACGGGGACCTTCTTTGCGTCGAGTGGCTTCTTTCTCCTTGAGCTTGTGGAAAGCATAGCGATTGAAGATGGCATCTTCGAACTCCATGCTGGGACGGCCGTGCTCAAGGCCACGGAAATCGTCTGTAGGATGGGAATGGACAATGCCTGGCGCACGTCCAATGTGACCTGCTTTGCACGGCACGAAGAGATGGACTCGACTGGGCGGCCCCAGGGATGGACTCGATATTTGTCTGAAGGAGTGTCTACGGACGACTGCGAAAGAGGCGCCTCTGGGCTGGTCGCGGATGAAGGACCAAGCCTTCTTGGCCTGCGACCCCGATGCCATCTGCCAAGCAGAAAGAGTCCGAAGAGCTAGAGCCAAAATGGCTGCAGATTTCAGTCTTTAAGACTCAGGCTTTATGCGTCTTGGGCTGGAAGCCGCGACATATAGGGCTTCTGACAAGGTGGAGACACTTGCTATCTTCTGCATTCTGTGGGTCTCAGCATGGCCTGAGGCCCTCGCCTGTTTGACCATAGGCAAAGAGGCAGCTGTTGTAACCATCCAACCTTCGTTCGGCAGGGAGAGGCAGGTTCTGTTGGACACCAGCGGAGGCGTACCACTTGCAGACAGGCGACACGTTGCTTCGCAACTCATGTCCCAGATCGTCCATCAGGTGCTCCTATAGCGGAGTTCAGGCTCCGTAAATGAGGTCCAGCATCCTACATTGGTCTGGTTCCTGCCCTCACTTCAGCCAGCCTGGGAGACGTAGTGGGGATCTGATTCTTTGGCAGACCTTCTTGCACCGAGCAGGCAGGGTCAAATCCTAGTGTGAGGCGATTGGCCCAGTGTCAGACTGTGTTGCGTGAGCCACGATTTCTTACCCGTCTTGTTTCCAATGTCCCAAATTTCAGAACAGCTTGTGCTACCGGCAGCATCACTGGCAGTAGTACGAGTGCCACTGTTTTCAATGTGACGCTCCTCTCGTGTGAGAGAGGTGCCGGGCAGGTTACCAGGATATAGACAATCTGAGACAATACAGGCTATGACCGCAATGACTCCTACTGGTTCTGTCTCTTGGGCGCCCACACCTCCGCGTCCATCTCCGTGCGGATGATTGTCGTAGAAGTGTCGTATTATCAAGACTATCAGAAATCAGGAGAACAAGCAAGCACCGATGCTCTGCATGATCATGGCTGCTGCACTACCAGTACGTACCTGACATATGACGCCATGGTCACCGTCGCTGAAAGAACAGTGAGGACAGCCAGCAGAAGCAAGAGCGGAAATCCTGATAAAAGTACTGATCCCTGTTTATAGAACTCTCTAGAACCTGATAAACTCGAGGAGTGTGTAAACCAATAGTGCCGCAATCATTTCACGAAGGCACTCACACCCCAAACTCCTCAAACCCCGAAACGCAGGCAGACAAGATGCCAGTACGCTCGGTCAAAGTAGTATGCCCTCGTCGCAGCTTGGCCGGTGTCCGACGGATTTGTCAAGTTCACCTTGTGCTGGGTGACAAGTGCGTACATGTATATACATATACATCTATATATATATATAACATCCAGACACACATGTAGATACAAATGCAAATACAAACACACACACACACACCCGCACTCTGTGTGTGTGTGTATGTATGTATGTATATGTACATATACATATACATATATATATATATATATTATATTATATATTTAT